CCTCCTTGGTAAAGTTTTTTCCTAGTAAATTATCTGGAATCACAGAACTCTAGTGGGAAAGTGAACATCTCACAAAACAATTGTCTTACAGTGTTTTCTGCTAAACTAACACCTGGGACATGGTTGCCTTGATCACTGTTGTGTGTGTGCCAGGCCAGCTCACCACCTGGGATAGTGCATGTTCAGCATGTGTTTTCTAAGGAAGACAAGATTGAGGGACGTCTACTGAAATGAAAGTACCAGAGTGAAATGACTGGGTACTGAGAAACTAACTGAGGCAAAATATTGTAAAAGTGAATGGTAAAGACAACATACCTTTTTGTGTGTTTGTTTTGTTTTGTTTGAAACAGGGTTTCACTGTGTAGCTCTGGCTGTCCTGGAACTCCCTCCATAGATCAGGCTGGCTTTGAACTCACAGGGATCCATCTGCCTCTGCCTCCCAAGTGCTGCAATTAAAGATAGGTGCCCCATGCCCAGCTGAAGATAACAGATAACATAGAGTCTCAATGAAGAGAAATATTGTGTGTCAATGTGATTAGATTTTAGGGAAGAGTTAGAATTCAATTTATGTCTTATAAATTGAGTAGAAATTTCCCTTGTATATAGGAGGGGAGGAGGCACACCATGCAGGTACAATCCTACCATAAGTCTGTGAAGCGAGGACAACCTATGCTGTCCTAACGATTAAGTTTAAGCATATAGTTGGTCCCAAAGATACTGTGAGATCCAAGGCTGAGAAGGTTATGGATACTAGATTGTGGCATTGAGTTAAAAACTCAAGTCCTATATTTTAGCTCCCTGAAAATGTGACAAATTTCTTTAAAAAGAAGTAATAAAAATTAAATTCTATAAGGTTTTATAACAGCCCGAGGGTTCCAAAATTAATAAATGCTTAGAATCCTTTGCACTTGTTTTAGATTACCGCATGTGACTCTCAGCTCTTTACTAACAAGGGAATGAGCTCATTATATGTTACATATTACATAGATTACAATCTTCAGAAGATTATAGGTTCGGTATACTTGCTGAAAAAATACCTCACAATTATCAAGACTGGATGCACATATTAGCCGTGTGTAATTAGTAGAGACGTGAAGGAGAAATAGGCTCATGTTGAATACTGATGGCAATTGAAGTTTTGTTTGAATGGGAGTAAATTCTAGGAGTGAGTTTTCTCCTTAGAAAAGAATGAGAATAATCAAATGCACATATTAAGGTTGTAAAGCAGAATGTTATCATCTTTGGTAAGAAGAGGATTAAAGAAAATGAAGTCAGTTTAAAATGTTCTCTCTTAATGAATAAACCTGGGTGATAAGAAGCTCTGAGGAAGACCTGGGGAGACAAATAGAGGGGAATTCAGGGATGTTTGGCTGGGGAAATAAAATCTTTTAGCTCAGTTGACCTCAAGCTCCTGATCCTTCTGCCCCTGCCTCTCAATAGAATGTAATCTTTTTTTTCAGTCCTGAAGATAAGGTTGCTGATGGCTGTTTCAGCCTATAGCTGGAATACGAATCAATGGAAGCCCATAAAGCCCAAGAGGCTTACACAAGTTCTCAAGATAGTAAAGTGAAGGAAGAACCTAGAATTGCTGCTTCACCCCTGCATGTGTATCGCTTGGAACAATGTTTTACACAGATCATGAGCTCAATAAATGTTTGTCGACTGTATGGTGAATGAATGAACCCTAGATTCTTATTTCCATACAGGATTATTTTCATTATATCATACAATGACTCAGAGTTCTGTAGCTTGAGAAACACCTTGTTTTGCCTCATTATATTTTAAGTGGCCCTAAGTATAAAAATATAATACCAAATTCTAATTTTCTGGATAAATCTTACTCTTAACAAGTATTTCTTCCAGTTCTGGACTTACGTCATAAGGGATCCTTCTCTTTAGATGTTGTTCCCCTGCATTATTTGAAGGCTGTAAAACTTCAGCCTGCTGGTGGAATCTGGGCTAATTGTATAACAACAACAACAAAAACATAAAGCAAGCAAGCAAGACCTGTTTGCACTATGTTAAGGATAAAGATGATAATGCAGGAACTTACTTAACAACAGATCGCAGATCTACCTTATGTGATGTATTTATGTCCAGAGCTGTCATAACAAAGTTCCACAGACTGCTGGCTTGAGTACATTTATTGTCTCAGAGTCCCCAAGGCTTGAAGTCCAAGACTCAGGTGTCAGCTAGATTGACTCTGAGGGTTATAAGGGAGGATCTACTCCATATCTTTATCTTTGACCTGTAGGTGATAATCTTCTCTTGGTGTTTTCATATCTCCACACTTCTGTTTGCGTCTATGTTCAAGTTTTTGTATTGTAAGGATAGCAGCCATATCATATTAGGACCCAAACTAACAACCTCATTTTAATTACCTCTTTAAATATTACATCTCCAAATAAGGGTACATCCCAGGTTACTGAATGTTAAGACTTCAACATTTTAAGCCAGTGTGTCTGTGTGTAAGAGAGAGAGTGGGGAGGGAGGGAGGGAGGGAGGGAGGTAGGGAGAGAGAGAGAGAGAGAGAGAGAGAGAGAGAGAGAGAGAGAGATGCAATTTCCTCCAGAAAGAAACAAGAGGTTTATGAGCCTCGGAAGGTTAAAAAAAAAAAAAAAAGTTCCCCATCTGTCTTAGAGAACAGAAACTTGGAAGACTCTTGAGGACCAGTAGTATAAAAGGAAGTATATTCTCCCCAATATTATAAAAAGGAGTAAGCACTTGCTGGGGGGAAGAGACTGCCCAGAAGAACTGCAGAGAGAAAATATTGTTGGTCCACGAGGCTGCCTGCAAGCTGTGTTGAGATCCCCAGAGTTGCTGCTTTTGTGAGTCTTTGCCCATGTTGGGGAAAGGATTCTCAATGATGTAGCTGCTTTTGAGTCATCTCTGCTCCTGCTAAGTTACTCCTCACCCATAGTCCTGTTAGTAACCTCCTAGAACTCACCTGTTCTCCAAGTTTGACGTTGGAGCAACTGTTTCTTTGGTCTGTCATGTGTTCCAGTTCTGGGGTGAATAGACATGCATTGTGGCACACAACAGTTCTCCATCCTATTTCCCAGTAGCAGCTGAAGTAATGTTACCAGAACTACTAGTTTGAAGTTAAACATGCAGTTGCCCAAAACCATCAAGGTCCTGCCCAGATAGGTACACCACTCAGCTGTAACAAGTTGGCCTCCAAGTTTTCCTGCCACTAGCTACTTTTAGTAGCTAGAGAGCATGGCTTTACTGATACACTTGTCAAAACAAAGTACATCATTAAAATGGATGAAACAACAGTTTCTTCTGTGGAAACTGATGTTTTCCTTACTTGTAAAGTGCTATAGCAAGTCTGACTGGTTTTTATTACTGTTGAACTGTAGCTTAACTAGTAATATCCTGGAGCTGGGGATTTATAAGGAGAATCTCTCATGAGGATCCTAGGGAAAAATAATGTCTTTCCTTTGGGGCTTCTGGGAAGAACTTAAAAGAAGAAACAAGTATGTGTGGAGGAAATGGTTTTACAGTTAGAAATACTTTGAAAGAGCAAAAGGATGCCTTAGCTATGTTTTATGAACATAAAACAGTTGTGTTAAGGTGTGAGAGTGTTGGGACCCATCACCCACCGGGTCTTTAAGAGTTGTTTTCTAGCATAACGACAGGTACCTCCTGTTTTCCTGACCTCACCCCACTAGCATCATTATCCTGTTGTGAACCCTTCACCTGGGGTTTTTGTAAGTTTGTATATAAGGCTATTCCACAGTAAGGGGATGAGAGACAATCTCTCAGAAAATGGACCAGGCATCTTGTTCATACAAATCTCCAGGCTTTCACCAGATACTCGAACTTAGTTGTGGTGCAGGCAGCCACATGAGAGAGTATTTACTCCTTGCATTTAAGTGTCTCCTTATTCAACCAGAATGATATTCAGAAGCTATAGGCTTAGCCTCCTTAGCTTTTACCATTGACTGATTGTTGACTATAGCTTTAGAGCAATTTCCAAGATTCTCACAATTAAAAATAGTGATATTCTTTTCCTTCCTTCCTTCCTTTTTTTCTAAGACAGGCTTTCTTTGTGTATCCCTGGAAGTTTTTCGAGACAGGGTTTCTCTGTGGCTTTGGAGCCTATCCTGGAACTTGCTCTTGTAGACCAGGCTGGTCTCAAACTCACAGAGATCTGCTTGTCCCTGCCTCCCGAGTGCTGGGGTTAAAGGCGTGTGCCACCAATGCCTGGCCCTGGCTGTGATATTTTTGATAAGATCCTTTTGAATTATTTCCCCCTAGTAACTCAATAAATAATCAGTTAAATAATGTAGTTCAGCAGGTGGCAAAAGGGTGTCTGCATTGTGGGGGTGGTAATGTGACATTTGGATTCATTACTATTTAGCATTTTTTTGATTCAGGCATTGATTATGTTGCTTAAATCGATGGGTCACTGATTGTTTCTATAGAGCCCCAGTATTTTAGGCCATGTTCCATCACTGGCTTAGACACAAAGTAACTACTCCATTTTAGAAGGAAATAGTAACAAACACTTGGAGTGCAGTATTTGTCATGACCGGTGTGTGTCACTGCAAGAAAGGGTACAGAAAGTGGTAGCATCAAGAATAAAACACTTCAAAGACGGTTTATGTAGTATTGGAAATGATGTAGGGGTCATCTTAACTTCATCCAACACTCAGTGAATACCTACTGGCTCCCAAACAAGACAGGTGTTTACAGGATTTTGAGTAGGTTCCCTCTAAACCAACTTATACAAAAATAGTAAAATTCTCAAACTCAACAAAACTTGGAGAAATGGAACAGAGCACTACAAATTACAGCAGTTTTAAATTTGAGTTACTTGAGAAACACCTTATTTTTGATTCATGAGAATTTAAATGGTGGTAAGTATAAAAATTTAATGCCAAATTCTTTTTTTTTTTGTTCAAATCTTACTCTTAAATGATATAGGAGTCACCTTAATTGGGAAAAATTTGTAGGGAAAATTGAACGTCCTCTCCTCCTTTCATATTTTGACATAGCTGATATTAAAAATACTATGTGATTGGAAATGGATACATTTCCAGATTAGATATGAGTTATGATAGATAATTAAAACAGACAAAGATAATTATTTGCCAAACATTTATTGAAAATTTTACAGTCCAATTGTTTTCAACAAGAATGTCTTTAAGGTACTATAGAGCCTCAAATGATTGTGGGCTGCTAAATCTAGTCAAGAGACCTCTAGAAATTTGGCCTCTGTCCATACATTTTCCCCCGTTCCTTTTTCCATCACTCTGTGAACTCTTGCTGGACCCAAACAAGACAGATGTTTACAGGATCTTGAGTAGGTTCTCTCTAAAGCAAAATGTACAAAAGTAACATTCTCAAACCCAACAAAACTTGGAGAAATGGAACAGAGCTCTACAAATAAAGGCAGTTTTAAATTTGAGTTGTTTGAGAAACACCTTGCTTTTGCTTCACGAAATTTTAAGTGGTACTAACTATAAAAATATGATGCCCAAAACTCATTTTCTGTCCAAGTCTTTCTCTTAAGAGTTCAGTTATGAACTCATTTCACATGGCATTTTTCTGCATAAATCAACTCCTTAGATTAAGGGCTGTCAAAATTATGCAACAGAGATTAAGAAAATTGTTTGGTTGCCTCCAAATGAAATTTAGGCCAAAGAAGATGTCAACTTAAACTTACAAAATAAGAGCTCCCAACAAGATGATCCACTAAAAACAGTGGCTCAATTACTTTGAATATCAAATTGCTACATTATTCTTGTTATTTATGAAGGGAATAAATCAATGTGCTCCTCAAACAAAATTCCTTTGAAAACTTAAATGACTTCTTTTTAAAAGTCTGCACTAAAGAACAAAGACATCTTGCAATAAAGAACTACCCGAGGCAGAATGAAAGACAGAAATAGAAAGAAATGAAACAGGTATAGTTTAAGATTCTGAAAAAGACATTCTAAGACCAGAGAGTTTTCCCACAACCAGAAACACGTGAGCTATCATTGGATGCCCAGTGTTTCTCATCTTCCTTTGCTTGAAAAAGAAAAAAAAAATTTTTTTTTTTTTTTAGCTGGTGCAGGGACTTTCGCGGCATCCTTTAAGGGCGGTACTGAGACCTCTGCTCTTGGATGTATTCATAGAGCGGGCTGGAACGCACTGGGACATTGGCAAACTGGCGTGTGCCAGACTCCAGGATTTGGCGGCGCCTCTGCTCCGCCTGCCTACGGATCTGCTCTTCTTGGAATTTTCTCTCCAGCTCTTGGCGACGTTTTTGTTCCTCTTCTTGGCGTTGTTCTTGTTCCTGACGACGAATCTTATCCCTGGCAAACTGCTCTTCAGCTGGGTACTGACCATCCCGTTTCTGCCTCCGCAACTGCAGTTCCTCACGTTCCTGGCGCAGCTGCTTCTCCTCCCGGAATTTCCTGTCACGCTCTTGGCGAAGCTGTTGCTCTAGTTCCTGGTGGCGACGCTTCTGTTCCTCAAAGCGAAGCTGTTCTTCCTCGAGTTCCTGGAGGCGCCGCTGCTGCCCCTCACGTTCTTTCCGGAGTTCTGGTTCTCCGCGGAATCTTCGGTCGCGCTCCTGACGGCGCTCTTCTTCCTCAAGGAATTTTCTGCCACGTTCCTGGCGTCTCAGTTGCTCTTCCTCCAATTCCTGGAGGCGCTCTTCTTCATGGAATTTTCTGTCGCGCCTGAGCTCTTGTTCCCTGCGGAACTTTCTATCCCTTGGCTGCTCTTCCTCCAGTTCCTGGCGGAATTCTTTTTCCCTGCGGAATTTTCTATCGCATTCCTGTCCGCGTCTCCGCTCTTCCTCTTGCTCCCTGCGCAGCTGCTCCTCCACCCTCAACTTTCGGTCTCGCAGCTGCTCTTCTTCCAGTTCCTGGAGGCGCTCCTCTTCATGGAATTTTCTATCACGTTCCTGGCGGCGCTGTGCTTCACGGAATTTTCTGTCGCGTTCCTGGTGTCTCAGCTGCTCTTCCTCGAGTTGCTGGCGGCGCTCTTCTTCCTCATGGAATTTTCTGTCGCGCCTGAGCTCTTGTTCCCTGCGGAACTTTCTATCCCTTGGCTGCTCTTCCTCCAGTTCCTGGCTGAATTCTTGTTCCCTGCGGAATTTTCTGTCACACTCCTGTCCACGCCTCCGCTCTTCCTCTCGCTCCCCGCGAAGCTGCTCCTCTGCTCTCAATTTTCGATCTCGCAGCTGCTCTTCCTCGAGCTCCTGGCGGCGCTCTGCTTCACGCAATTTTCTGTCTCGTTCCTGGTGCCTCAGCTGCTCTTCCTCGAGCTCCTGGCGGCGCTCTGCTTCACGCAATTTTCTGTCTCGTTCCTGGTGCCTCAGCTGCTCTTCCTCGAGCTCCTGGCGGCGCTCTGCTTCACGGAATTTTCTGTCACATTTCTGGTGCCTCAGCTGCTCTTCCTCGAGCTCCTGGCGGCGCTCTGCTTCACGGAATTTTCTGTCACATTTCTGGTGCCTCAGCTGCTCTTCCTCGAGCTCCTGGCGGCGCTCTGCTTCACGGAATTTTCTATCGCGCCTGAGCTCTTGCTCCCGGAGGAACTTTCTGCCCTGAAACTGCTCCTCCTCCAGTTCCTGACGGAGCTCTCGTTCCCCACGGGATTTTCTGTCACGCTCTTGGTGTCTCAGCTGCTCTTCCTCACGCAGCTCCTGGCGAAGCTCTTCTTCCTGGCGGAATCTTCTGTCACGCTGCTGGCGGCGCTGCTCTTCCTCACGCAGCTCCTGGCGAAGCTCTTCTTCCTGGCGGACTCTTCTGTCACGCTGCTGGCGGCGCTGCTCTTCCTCACGCAGCTCCTGGCGAAGCTCTTCTTCCTGGCGGACTCTTCTGTCACGCTGCTGGCGGCGCTGCTCTTCCTCACGCAGCTCCTGGCGAAGCTCTTCTTCCTGGCGGACTCTTCTGTCACGCTGCTGGCGGCGCTGCTCTTCCTCACGCAGCTCCTGGCGACGTTGGTCGGCCTCAAGCTGCTGGCGGAGCTCTTGTTCCTCACAGGAATTTCTTCCGCGCTCCTGCCGAAGTTCTTTCTCACGTTCTTGGTGGCGCAGCTCCTCCTCCTCCTGGAATTGTCTCTCTTGTTCTTGACGCCGCCTGTGTTCTTCCCGTCTTTTCCGCAGCTGCTTTTCCTCCTCAAGGAACTTTGCATCCCTCTCCTGGGGCCGTCTTCTCGAGTCTCTCAGGAGCTGCTCTTCCTCCTGGATGTTCTCATCTCGCCTTCTGGCTTCCCTTTGGTGCTCTCGCTGCAGCTGCTCTTCCTCTAGCAACTGCCGGTCGCGCTGCAGTCGGCGCCTGGTCTCCTGCTCCAGCTCTCTCTTCTCTCCCGCTTCTTCTCGCAGAGGCCGCCGATCCTGACGTAACCGTCTCTCTTGCTCCAGAGAATCTTCCAGCTGCCGGGTCCTTTCTTCATCCTGCCTGCGTTTGGAGAAGAGCCTGTGTCTGCGAGCTTCGTTTTCTTTCTCTGGTTGCCACTGCCATTTCAGATCCCTACGCTGATCTACATCCCGCAGCCGCTGCAGGTCCTCCTCTTGATACTGCCTCCCCCGCTGCAGGCGCCTTCTTTCCTGCTGCAGCCGCTCCTCCTCCTGCTGCAGCAGCTCTTCCTCCTGCTGCAGCCGCTCTTCCTCCTGCTGCAGGTCCTCCTCTTGATACTGCCTCCCCCGCTGCAGGCGCCTTCTTTACTGCTGCAGCCGCTCCTCCTCCTGCTGCAGCCGCTCCTCCTCCTGCTGCAGCCGCTCCTCCTCCTGCTGCAGCCGCTCCTCCTCCTGCTGCAGCCGCTCCTCCTCCTGCTGCTGCAGCCGCTCCTCCTCCCGGAGGTATTTCCTGTCCCGCTGCTGGCGCCGCTGCGCCTCTTCTTGCAGCAGCCGCTCCTCCCGTAGCTCCTCCCCGCTCTGCTGCCTCTGGCTGGGTTCGGCGTACCGCGTGTGGCACCTCTGGCTTTCTTCCTGCAATTGCCGGCTCCTGCTTGCGTCCCGGCGACGCCTCTGGCGTTCCTCTAGGAGGCTATCCTGGAGCTCCGCTCGCTGCAGCTCCTCCTCCCGGAAGCTCTGCTCCTCCCCGTCGCGCCTCTGGGATCGCTGACGCTGAGGCTCGCGGAACCGCTGCTCTTGCTCCAGGCGCTCCTCCTCAGCAAGGCGCTGTCGTCGGAGGTCGCGGCGCTGCCCCTGCTCGCGCAGCTGACGCTCTTCCGCCTCCTGTCTGCGAGGCCTGGAGTAAACTTTGTTCTGACGGGCTTCTGCCTCGCTTTCGAGTTGCTGCTGCCACCTCCGGGTGAAGCTGTCGTCAGGCTCTTGGAGCCGCGTCTGCTCCTCCTCTTCAGCCACCAGCTCCTGCTCCCGCCTCAGCTGGGGGTCGCGCCTCAGCTGGGCATCGCGCCTCAGCTGGGGGTCGCTCACCTCTTCTCGCCTGCGCTTCTGCAACCGTCTTTCTTCCGTCTGGTCCTTGCTCTTGAGTTCTTGCCTCTCTCGCAAGTTCTCTTCCTCAGAAAACTCCTCAGCATCAGGACCCTGGCTCCAGCTTAGCGGCTCTTTCTCTGCAAGGCGCTCCTCCAGTTCTTGCAGTTCTCGTCTTTGCTCTTCCTGCTCCAGTCTCTCTTGCCTCTTCCTCTGCTCATCAGTGCGCTCCTCCTGCTCATGTCTCTTCTGCCTGCTTTGGTGCCCTCGTTCTTCGTCACGTTGTACGTCCTGGGGCTCGAATCTCCTTTGGTCTTCTTGTCTGCGATCTTGTGACACGTTCCTCTTCTCATCTAGCCCTGAGGTCTGATCGAGAGCATAATAGCAAGCTTGAGCAATCTTGAAAAGGAACAGGAGGAATTCGTTGAAATCAACACGCCCGTTGGAGTCGCGATCCAAAAGTGCTAGGGTCAGGTCTACTGTCTCAGGGTCCTGTGGTCTCTAAGAAAGATTAAAACAAACGTTTTATAATTAATTATTTACATGTAGTAAGCTTTTACTCTCACACTTATTTTATGTTGTGTTGAGATTAGGAGATATTTAAAACAATTAGAAAATGCATAGTGTGCCCAGCGGTGGTGGCGCATGCCTTTAATCCTTGCAGGTGGATCTCTGTCAGTTCCATGCCAGCCCGATCTACAGAGAGAGTTCCAGGACAGGTTCCAAAGATACACAGAGAAACCCTGTCTCGAAAAAACAAGACCAAAAAAAAAAATCCACAAAAACAAACAAACAAACAAAAAACAAAATCGAATTTGTCCTTGTGATCGATAAAATGAAATTTTAGGAAGACTTCCAACAGACATTTTCATTTGAAAAAGCCAGTACCTCTAATTTAATTTCTATTCCATGTTTGAAGAAGAACTAAGATATTTACAGTATTGCCATTTTAGTCAAGAAGTAGGCAAATTACAGTTGCAGAAAGTTGGGAGCAAAAAATGTCCCTTCAAGTCTATTAACTGGATTAGGCATCATTAGTGGTAATGCCCTATTAATTAACACTTCATTCCCATTAACAATGCTATCAAGGCTATTAAATAAATGTCATTAACTTCTTTAGTACTCAGATTACACCACCAATTTAAACACCTCAGGCTCAAAAATGAGTGAGGATGTAATGTAAACCTGTCATGTTGAAAATCCATTTTAGCGTTGGTGGTGCACGCCTTTAATCCCAGCACTTGGGAGGCAGAGCCAGAGGCAGGCAGATCTCTGTGAGTTTGAGGCCAGCCTGGTCTCCAGAGTGAGTGCCAGGATAGGCTCCAAAGCTACACAGAGAAAACCTGTCTCAAAAAAAAAAAAAAAAAAAAAAAAAAAAAAAAAAAAAAAAAAAAAAAAAAGAAAAGAAAAGAAAAAAGAAAAAGAAAGAAAGAAAGAAATGAAAAAGAAAAAAAGAAAATCCATTTTAACCAATATTCTTTGCTTTTTCTTGGGAGGAAAATGAAAAGCTCCACACTGTAGATTTCTTTTTCTTGTCAGGTCTCACCTGAAGGACAGTTCCAAGTTCCCTTTCAAGGAGGTTCTTCAGGTCTTTCTTGCTTAGGGATGCTCCATCACAACTGTGTGAGGCATAGTGATCGAAAATTTCAGCGATATCAATAACGCTTCTTAGAAGAGGAGACATCTTTTCTTTCTTTCAAATTCAAGTAAACCTAAAACAATAAGATAGGATTCAGAATTAAACCTCTGCTTCCGATATTAGGGAAATTTCACTTACACTGATTTAGACAGATCTTTAGACTTTCCACTAGTATTTATTTCAACTTGCGTTTTCAGAGCATTTTATCCATAAATAATGTATTCCAAAAGGGGAAGAGAAATATTGAAAAATTCTAAGCCAGGAAAATCATCTTCAAACTATATTGCAGTCAGATTTTCATTGTCCATTGGTGTAGACTACTTATATCTTCCACTTTTTGTTTCAACACATGTCAGAGCAGATAATGAAAAGATGAAGGTTAGAATTTAAATTCTATATATTGCTACTCATAGCAACCCCAAAGGTTGAGCAAATAAGAATAGGTAAAAGCCAAGGTGTGAAAGAAGACTTGAGCATTTTTAAAAGTAAATAGAGCTATACATAGACGATTGTGTCTGCAAAAACATGGCACAAACAGTGAAAAGGAAATGTGAATTACTCCTTAATTGTCTAGCCCAAAAGAGACTAACTCATGTCATCAATTCTAACATTAAAGAGTGCCTGTTCCTCAAAATTGTAACATTTAGATACTGCAAGGCAGAAACAAGGAATTCATGTTTTCCGCCTTAACTCAGATATACTATGGCTATTCATAGTTTCTATTATGGAAAGTTATTTGAGAGATCAGAGGCAATAGGTCAAACCTGGAGAACTTTGAATGACATTGGTCTTAAGCCAGGCCTTTGTTAAATGCAAGTAAATCACTTGAATGTTGATATTATAAAGAAAGGAGAGGGCGCTCTGGGAATGTAGCTCAGTGGTAGAGTGGCTGTTAGTATGTGCAAAATAATATGTTCAGTTTCCAGTATTGCCAAGACAAAGCAAAACACACAGCCACAACAAATCTTATCCACCGACACACTGGTGTCAAAAGAATACTTGGTTGGCTTGGCTGGCTGACTGCATAGTGTTCACTTAGTTAAGTACTTTATCATCATTTGAACTCCAACACTTCACACACCAACTCAGATGTGAACTGTATGAAGATGCCTATGTCATACTGAACACATAAAAAAGAGATTAGAGGGTTTGCACACTTTTGGGATAGTAGTGTTTCAGAAAGATGAGCCTCATAAGAGGCACACACACACACACACACACACACACACACACACACACACGCTATTTTTTTCTGTGCAAAAGTATTGAGTTAAGAGCCTCGAGAGAACTACTACTATTCAAGTGATGGCTCCAACCACACATAAAAAGATGGGGCAAGCCAAGCATGGTGGCTCATTCCATTTAAATGGTAGAGGGAGTTTCTGTGAGTTTGAGACCAGTCTAGCCTACATAGTTAAGTCTAGGCTAGACAGGGCTAAACAGTGAGACCTTATCAAAAAAGAGAAGGGGAAGCAGGAGATGGAAGAAGTGAGATTTAGCCAACCCTGGAAGGTGGAGATCCTTTCTGGAGCACAGAGCCGACCTGCATTCCCCCAACAGGTAACATGGCTAGAAAATGAAGAATCCTACAGAAGAACACCATCCCACAGAATGGGACTTACCCACTTCACCAGAGGAAGAAGTCAAGTGCTCGCCGACACTGCTGCCAAGTGTGCTAGCTAACTGGGAGTCTGGCCTTTTATAGGGGTTTTAATTGTGCCCTGGGGAGCAATTTAGGAAGGAGACACCCACTCTGTGGGATGACCTGATTCATTCAAATCCCAGCTCCACCTCTGTCTCCAGGAATGGCTTGTTTATCTCACTATTTGCTCACGTAGCTATTTGGACAGGGTTCACAGGACTTGCCTGCTGACTGGGTGCTGGCCCCACCTAACACAAAAAGGTAGACTATTTGGCAGATTTTCTAATTTTCTTTCATTGCTAAAATAAAAACCTTAAAACAAAGGTGATGAATGTTCCGAATCTTGATTTATTATTTTTTTAAGATTTAATTTTAAGTGTGTGTTTGTGCACGTGAACAGATGAGTACAGGTGCCAATGGAGACCAGAGGTGTCAGATTCCCCTGGGACTGGCCACATAACATGGACACTAGGAATCAAATGCAGGTACTTTGCAAGAGCAGTAAGTGCTCTAAACTGCTGAGCCCTGTTTCTAATTTGTAAAATACAAATTCTAGGTTGACATTAAACATGAACTTTGACAGAAACCGATGAGAACCAACTAACTTCTGTATGGCATGTGTCAGACCATGAAGAGATGACCATAAGCCCTGCCTGGAACACCTTGAAGATGATGAGAGGGACCAAGTTTCTTTTCTAAAATTCAGATGGGAAATTTTATTTTACATTTGTATTCCTCAGATTTTCCTATAGGTTAGGGGTTGCTTCCTAAGTAAATAATTTTGGAGAAATATGTGTTTATCAAACTGTTGATGAGAAAGCATATTGTGAAATTTCATTCTCAGAGATATTAAATCTAAATGAAATTTGCTCATTTGTTTTGCTTGCTAGCACATTGAAGCCCCTGGAGAAAAAGAGCTAGTGTCATGCATTATTGTAGATACAATCATCTCATTCAGCCTAAGTTACTAATGCTTATGACATCTAAATACTTGAGTTGGCTTCTTCTGGAAGCACATTAAGGTCATTCTAGCCCATTATAGCTGTCAGAGCTTTCTCAACCCTGGTGATCATTTGTGAATCTTGGTGCCACTTTATTGTAAGGAACTGGATTTAGTCCTGGTTGTCAGCGACTCCCACCCTTCCACTTCATACTATATGAAACTTTGGTTCATAATAGGTTTATGGAGACTATTAAATGATTCAGCAGCTTCTCTGAAATTCTGTCTCCACCAAAGGCAAGTATTGGTTTTTGGAATTTTGAGGAGAATTTAATAGTTAAAATAAAATCATTAAAACAAGGGCTTTATGTTCCTTTAGTGGTATGTGAAAATCAGGAGCCTAAATCTTGATGCCAGTTTCATACTTTGCTCACTGCTCTCCCAGACATGGATTAACTAGAAGGTTGAAGTGACAGGAGAGGAAAAGACGATTGTAGACCTAGTTCGTTTCTGCTTCTTCAAGACCTTCAGTACAGAAGTCATGATTTCCAAGTTTCTTTAGAACTGTCAGAACTGCCATTATCTATTGGGGTCAGCGAACTGATTGGTTGCAGTAAATCCTTTAAGAGTAGTGGTTCTCTTACTGTTTTCACTAATGTCCATACAGTTCTCTTAGTCTTTTGGCCACCTTGAGCAATGTACACATACACTAACTACAAGCCAGCAAACTCCTCATTCTCTATGAGGTGTCTAGTAATTTGCTTAGACATCAAGGGATTCCCTGTAACCAAATTATGTCTGTTTGTGAGCTGCTTTCTCTCTCCCTCCCTCCCTTCCCTCCCTCTCTCCCTCCCTCCTTCCCTCCCTCTTTCCCTTCCTTTCCTTCCCCTGTCCCTTCCCCCCCTCTCTCTGAGGATTTTGCTAGATAGTCCAAAATGGTCTCTTCTGTTGTCACCTCTGGAGTCTGCTTCTGTTTTTCCACTGTCCAGGTGTGATCTGTTAGAAAATCTCGGTCCAGGTTTTCTATCCTGAAATAAGACTTTAGTTTAGTGATGTCTTTCTTACCCAGTCCTCCCTAAAGGGAGTACAATGTAAAGGAAAATATTTAAAACCTCCACAAGTCTCAGAGCATGACTTTTCTTCTGGTGTCTAGGTCCATTTCTAAGTAACTTCAGTGTGATAACATTGCTACATTGTTACATACATTCTCTTATTTTAGACAAAGCCTAAAGTAAAATGAAATAAGAATATCATTTCAGGGGGCCAGATCAAGGGTGCACAAGTTAAAAAACATGTGTTATAAGCATGGACTGCTTATAACCTTCTGTTATTTCAGTTACAAGGGATTTGATGGCCTCTTCTAGCCTCTGCAGCTACAGGCATGAAGACTATGTATATACAAATGTGCAGGCAAATACCCAAACACATGATTATTAGAAGAATATAGAAACAAACAAAATAAAACCAGCTAGGTGTGGTGTTGCACATCTTTAACACCAACACTAGGGAGGCAGAGGCAAGCAGGTGTCTGTGAGTTCCAGGCCTGTTACACAGTATAACCCTTTCTAACAAGAGCAACAGTAATGAAAAAGCAAACTTCAGTCTCTAAAGGGATTTTTGGACAAAGAAACAATTTTAATTGTTTTATAGTTCAGTAAAAGAAATAGAAATGCTAGCAAATATAGAAAATTAATTGGTTAATTTTGGTTAACAAATTGGTTCTCACAAATTGGTTCAGCCTATTTTTATTTAAAGATAACTAGAAATCTATGAGAATGGCAGTATCCAATAATGTTTCATCAAAGATAATGTCATTTTTATAATGTGGAAATATTCGGGTTTTTTTTTTTATTTTTGATTTTGGTGTTTGAAGACAGGGTTTCTCTGTGTAGCCTTGGATGTCTTAGAACTTTCTCTGTGGACCAGGCTGGTCTCGAACTCAGAGATCCACCTGCCACTGAGGCCTGAGTGCTGGGATTCAAGATGTGCACCACCAAATTTTCATATTTTTATAGATAAAAGATCTCATTGTTTAAAAATATTTAAAATTGCATTTTTTACTTGTGTGGAGGGGCATGACTGTGAAGCTCAGAGAGCAACTTATGGGAATAGGTTTTCTTCTTCCAGCATATGGGTCCCTGGGATTTAACTCAGGCTTTTGGGCTTGTTAGCAAGCACATTTACCCACTGAGCCATCTCACTGGCTCTCGTTATCTTCGTTTTTTAAAGACGGGAAGCTGAGGCACTGAAAAGTCAAAGAACATTGCTACCAACTAGCATGGGAAGGTTCTGCATGAATATTCTTTATCCCAAGAACATATCTATAGTTCTAGATTGACATTTGGAATTTTATTACAGAAGAATTAAAAAGAAGTAATTAAATGTATTTATGAGGAAGTTTTATCACATTTATTTATTTGTGTGTGTGCATGCATGCCCGTGTGTGTGTGTGTGTGTGTGTGT